CTGAGGAAGACTGGCCCTGAGCTAACATCTGTGCCCATCTTCTTCCACTTTATATGGGACACCGCCACAGCATAGCTTGACAAGCGGTGCATCAGTGTGCGCTTGGGATCCGAACCCAGGCCACCAGCAGCTGTGTGCGTGCACTTAACTGCTACGCCATGGGGCTGGCCCCCTCTTTCATTTTTTTTTTTATTATAGGCATCCTAGTATGTGAAGTGGTATCTCATTGTGGTTTTGATTTGCATTTCCCTAATGACTAATGCAGTTGAACATTTTTTCATGTGCTTATTGGCCATTTGTTTATTTTCTTCCACCGTTATTACCACTGTTTTTATTCAAGTCCTTTGCCCATTTTTAATTGTTTTTATTGAATTCTTTATATATTCTGGATATTAAACCCTTATCAGATATATGATATGTAAGTATTTTCTCCCATTCTGTAGGTTGTCTTTTCACTTTCTTGATAATGTCTTTTGATGCACAAAAGTTTTAATTTTGGTGAAGTCTGGTTTGTGTCTTTTTTCTTCTGTTACTCCTGCTTTTGGGGTCATGTCCAAGAATCCATTGATCCCGGATCATAAAGATTTATCCCTTTGTTTTCTTCTAAGAGTTTTATGGTTTTAGATCTAATATTTTGCATCAATTTGTTTTTAATGACCTCTTATTAGTTCTCTTTTTGCCTTCTGGTGACTTTAGAAGTTAGTGTCTGGTATATTTGTTTTCTCTTTAAATCAAGTGATCTTTTGGATTCAGACTTCTTTTTTTTTTTTTTTCTTTCATTTTTTTAAAAAAAATTTTATTTATTTATTTTTCCCCCCAAAGCCCCAGTAGATAGTTGTATGTCATAGTTGCACATCCTTCTAGTTGCTGTATGTGGGACTCGGCCTCAGCATGGCCGGAGAAGTGGTGCGTCACTGCGTGCCCGGGATCTGAACCCCGGGCCGCCAGCAGCGGAGTGCACACACTTAACTGCTAAGCCACAGGGCTGGCCCTGGATTCAGACTTCTTAAAAAATGTTACATGTGAGAATTAGTTTTTTTAGTAAAAGTTATTGATTTTAAATTAGCATAATAGGTTAAATGTTTTCTCCATAATATGTTATCCTTTGTATAGTCCTGTTTCTGATAGTTTCTTTAAATCAGTAAGTCTTATGTTATTGCTTTATATGAGAATACCTTGCTCTTTATTATAGTTTTATATGTGAAAAGTGATGGTTAAGATAAACTTTTGGTAAATAAATTATTTAAATGCATGTTGGAAGCTTTCTTGACAAGAAATCTTACTTCAAAGTATTTTATGAATCACTCTCTTGAGAGTAGATTGAATCTTGAAAAAAAGGTTTGTTTGAAGCAAGGTATGTACGTATAGTTTGCTTCAAGAGGATAGAGATTGGTCTTTTTAGTGCTAGTGCTGTTAATGTGTGGCTAGTTTCCTGAGCTGATTCCAATTATGTGTGTTTTTTCCTTTTATAACATTGAAAGCAATCAATATTTCTTGACTTTATCGTTGTGAAAAGAACATAGGATTTAGATAAAGACATCTTAGATTGAGTTTAGGCTCCACTGTTAATAGCCGAATAATTTGGGTCAATTTACTTAATCACTTTCACTTTTCAGTTTACTGTTCCTAAAAAGGGAATAATGGAATTTGCCTCGCTTGTATGTAAGGATGTTGTGAGGGACAAAACATGTGAAAGTAGACTCTGGAGAATGATATTTCTTCCTTTACTGTATCAATTGGCGTCCATTCAGGGAAATAGAAGCCACTTAGGGTATTTCTGATAGAAAGGTTTTAATACAGGGAATTGGTTGCAAAAGCGTTGGAAGGGTTGGAGGAGTAAAAAAAGCCAGGGTGATGCCACGTAGAGATTAGCTATTGCCAATGTAGCTACTGGGAAGCAGCTATTGCCCCTATGGCTGGAGAACAAAAGTGAAACTTGTGTTACCAGAGCCCCAAAGTACTGCACTATTGAGAATACTGCCATTGTTACCTAGCCAGGAAGCCAGGAGCCTGCCTTCTTATTGCTGCTGCAAGAGCCAAGGAGCCTGCAGTCCCATTGACACTGCCTGGCTTGGTCACGGATGCTACAGAAAGTTGGAGTAGCTCGCAGTTGCTCACTGACTTTTTATCCTTAAAACTTTTTCCTATGACTTTTCTTTTTTCCATGTACTCCATATCCAACACATTAGCAAAATATACCCCAAATCCAACTATCAAGAGTTTCTCTGCTACCTCCAAGTCTAAACTACTACCACCTCTTGGTTAGGATTATACAGTAGCCTCCCAACTTGTGTCTCTGCTTCTCTTCTTGCCCTTCTACAATGAGTTCTATATCCAGTAACCAGAATGAAGTCTTAAAATTATAAATTAATTCACAGCACTCCCCTGCTGTAGCTCCCTGTCACACTCAGGATAAAATCCTAACCATGGCCTACCACATGCTATATGATCAGGCTCTTGCTGATGACTCCCTGATCTCATCTTTACTCATCTGTAGCTACGTGGGCTCTTCATTGTTCTTTGAACATACCAAAGTAACTCTCATCTTAGGGCCTTTGCACTCGTTATCTGTTCTGTGTGGAATGTTCTTCCTCAGCATCTGTTTGTGACTAGTTTCCTTACGGTGTTCCTTCTCTTTCTGCAAGTCTCTCTCGCTTCATTTAGATCACTGTCTCTCAGAGAAGCCTTCCTTGACCACCCTACAGTCACTCTCTATCATTTTCCCCTGCCTTTTACACATGCATACACACTCACACATACACAGATCATGTGTATGTATGGATCTTACATATATGTACTTATTTTGTTGTTTGTTCTTCTCAGTTTCATGACTGCAGGCACTTTGTTATCTTCATCTCTCCTCCAACCACACTACTTATACTACTGCTATTGGAAGAGTTCTTGGTAGAAAAAGAGTTACTCCTGGTAGTGTTAAGGAGACTGAGGTTATGACCTTATGAAAACTCTGAAATTTTTTTTTATAGTCATTAAATGAACAAAAATTGGTTGAATCAGGGACAAAGCACGCCACATAGACAATTTAAAGTATTTTTCTTCTAATGTTTTACGAG